AAGAGAACAACATTTATCAAAACAACCTTCCAGGCTAGTGAAGTGGTATTGTTGATTCAAATGCCAGAGTACACATCACCTTTGCTAACATTTAAAGCAGTGTCCTCACAATCCAAATTTCCCAATTTGATTTTAGGATGTGCAAAGCTGCCTACGCAGAGAGCCCAACCTGTTTGATAGATTAACCTTCAGTACCTCAGTCACCATAACTGTGCTCTCATTGAAGAAATGAATGTACTTATGTGAGCTCACTGTTACAGAAATTATTTACAAAATGACAACCACTTCATTTTGGACAGTAAAATCATAGCAAATTGCTGTATGTTTTATTTATAAACAGGAAAAAGGAGAAAATAAAACAGAAGATGTGAAAACAAAATTTTAGCTTTGCAAAACGATGAGAATCACAGGCAAGGTCTGATGCTGGTGTCCCCAAGTTAACATTAGCATTCCTTCCCTCCCCAAGGGCTAAGCACAGGCCAAGGGTCTTCACTGCAGCATCCATCCTGTCAGCCTGAGACCAAACAACATCTTTTAAGGTTAATTTTGTTGGTTAAAAGTGAATATTTCCCAGTGAGAAAATGTACTGCTCTCTCGAGAGACTGTCTCACTGGAGAATTCATAATCAGTTCTCTTCTGCTCCTCCTCATGCATCTGCCATTAAGCGAGTCAGAGGAAAAAACAAGTCTCTCTCAAAACTACATTTTGTTTCTTCTTCCTTTTTTCCCCACAAAAAAACAAAATACAAAGGAACCACTGGGACACTGTAGCATTCAAGTAGCCTTGCCTGCTAATTACAACTCACAGCTGGTAAGTGGGAGAGCCCTAGTCATACATAGTACCTTATTCTCTTTCCATTAACTGGTAAGTTTTCTGGTAAGCCCAGCCAAAATTTTATTATTGAATAACAAACACATACAGTGCGTTTAAATAGTACTTTTGTATCTAGAATGCCCGGGAGAGTGCCTGCAGTCTGCATCAGCAGTACATCCTATTCCTAGCAGTTTTAGTTCTTTGTCCTCAACCGATCCCAGCAATTGCATTTTCTACAGCCAGTCCACAAACTGTCCTCTGACAGATTTGTTCAGTTAGCGACATTGCATCTCTTACAGCACCAATAATGATATATCACTGTTGATGTCTCAAGAGGATTTTGTTTCTTAAATTACAGGCCTACTATTTTAAAAGTCATTTAAATGTAATTCACTGGAGACATACCCAGCTGGGACATGAAGGCAGCAGGAAAATTCATGCACTTTGACTCTTAATGAAGGAAAGAAAAAGTTAAAGGAGAATTTTTAGAATTAAATAGTAAGGACTGAAAAGTCTAAGCTAAAAATATTTAGACTTTTTAAAAAAAATTTATACATCTTTGTTTACATCTGCAAATCTTCTGCTCTATCAGATTTAAGATCAAAATGTTAAAATCCTTATGGAGAATTTTTAGTTTTACTGCTTTTGAGAGCATGAGCTATCCCTTTTTATTAACGCAATTTCTACACACGCATGCAGTCCACAGCTATGGTGTAAACCTCCATATTCAGTGTCTCCAGCTATCTCAAGTTACCAGACTGAAATCTCTTTACTTTTTCAAATGGTATAAGGCTGAAAGCTGATACATCCACTGACAATCCTGCACAGACACACCTGAAGGTCGTTGATTCGTAAATAAACATTGAAATCCCTAAAGCCCACTTGAAAAATCGTTAAGACTTAAGTAAAAATGTGTTCATGCTTTTAATCAATCTATAAAGGGGTGCAAGGAGACAGCTTCTGAATCTTGTGAAAGCTGCAGAGTAAAAGACTGATAATAAAACTTAAAACTTGTAGGTGATCATTCTAAAAGGAACTGTGCTCACAGGAGCTTCAAAAACCACTCCGAGTCCTATCGGTCAACTTCTGGACCATGAATTCATCTCCTACTATCAATGTGAACTATGAATTCACCCACTGCTATCTCCTACTATCACCATTGTCCTATTATATTGAAGCTGCACATTTGTTAGCTTGTGTAATAAAGCAAAAGCAGCACCAAAAGAGCCTCAAAATGTTGAACCTTCTTTCGAAATTATTACCAAAAGTTGCAATTATCATATAAACAACAAAGAAAAAAGACCAGGAGAAGAAAGCTACGTGTGTTTATAAAATATATAGCAGCCCATGAAAAGGCATCAAAGGCTGGTGCCATCCCCTGCTGCCTCACTATTGCACCTGGGTACTCACTTCGAGGTACCAGAACCGCTGGCACAATGGAAGACAGTTTCTCATTGTGCAGTTGGCCTTCAGTTGACAAAGAGTTAAAGATGAGACACAAACCCACAGAAACACATACATTTTCTGTTGGGACTGTCACTAACAATGAAAATTGTGCACTCTGAAACATCCAAAAAAAGAAACCAAGCACACTGCAATTCCTGCATCAGAAGATTGTGGCTGTTTTTTAAGGTTTAAGTCTGACCTTTGTTTTCCAACACGGCTTTTTGTATTTTGCCTCATTACAGCATTCATACTCTATCAGATATTCCTTTCAGAGGGTTTCAGCGGATGCCAGCAGCTGGGAAGCTCAGCCAGCAGCCAAACAATGCCCGAGTTCAGAAGCGAGCCCAGGATTCCTGCCTCCAGGCTTGGCAAGTGCTGGGACTGTTACGGAGGTGATTCGAGTCCATCAATCTCTGGAAGACAGCCACCCTCTGTCTCTTCTACAATCCCTCCCCTCATCCCCAGCAGCCAATTCAGTCTGCAGTTGGGCTCACTGTTCACTAAGTAATAGGAGGATAAAAGTATACAGGGAGATCCAAAATGGAAAGCCAAGAAAAATGGTGCAGTTGAAAACACAGTCATGCCTGAGCTGCGTTCCTGATAGTTATTGCTGCTCCTTTTTGAGATAGCAACGGAAGAAGTACAACACGTCAGAAGATTTCTAGCTGTCAAGTAGAAGAAATATGGGCTAACCCTCCTTTATGCATGAATCAAATGCAATAACAGAAAACCTAATGGATGCCTTGAAATGCAATTAACCAAAACAAACTATGTGGTAATACATGTTGGATCACATACACCTCCACTCCCTTCTGGCACACGCACAGTGCACACACATCCATATGGATTTATTCCTCTTTATTTCAGCACTTGAAGACTATGTGGCCACTGTCGACCACTGTGGACTCTATCCCACCTCAGTCCTGGTCACCCACTCCAGCTGATGGTTGCTCAACACGACTTGCCACGGTAATGTAAAGCATTCCAGAAGGCGAAAATCAACCACATTAAGGCTCAAAATCAGCTGTAACTAACTTGGAAAAGCTGGCCTCCAGCTGCAATGCTAAAGGCCCTGCACACAGAAAATGCTTTCCCTCTTTGTGTCATCGTGCTACGTACTATGGCTTCTCAACGGTTTGCTTTTTTCCCAGCAAGTAGCTTACGTGCAAAAGCAGGGTAATCAAATCTTACTCACTTCACTTCTTGAAGCAACTGCTCGATGGAGAGGAGTCAGCCACATATTGTCCTTGGCATTAACACGAGCGCCTGCAAGTAAACAGCAGAGGTTACATCCATGCCTTGGGCACGACGCTGAAAGCCTTGCCCAACTGTTTCCTAGTAACAAGAGCTGAGCTGTATGTGGTACTCACAGCGCTCCCCACCACTCTCCTGGCACCCCGTTCACCTTGGAAATGCATTTCCAGATCCCAGATAGATAGGAACTGAAGCATGATTCGGAAAGAAAGGAACTGTATAGGTCTGACTATTAACAGGAGTAGCTTTGTTTACAGGACACAAAAGAAGCAAGATTTGTTGTAGGGGATTACATCTGTATGTGCATGTATGTCTATGCATATGCATTTTTTTAGATCAACTGATACAGTTGGGGAAAAAAAAGCAACCCTTTGCTGAGAGCACTGCTGCTGCCTGCAGACATAATGAAGGGAACGAGCCTGAAAAACCATCTCTGGTTTCCAGCTCCATCAGGCAGACCACTAAAAGATATAACCGCTTCCCTGCATAGCAGATCTTGCTGGGATCAAGAAAACAGGACCGGGAAATGCTCAGGTTGCGGAGGAAACTGGGCGCTTACGGCCTCAGCTTCTGTGGGTGTTATTCAGCACACATCAGAAGAAGAGGGATGAAGGAGACTCTCCGTTTGCCTCCCGTGCGGTTCAGAGCTAATGCGCACTCCGACAAAGACAGCTGTGCGAGAGGATGGGTTTGGGGTGGCTTGCCAGAATAAAGGATAAAGGAAGAATATTTAACAACTACAATGGTGCTGGCTGACTGCAGACAAAAAAAAAAAAAAAGGATCCTGTACATTTGTGTGATAGATTTTTTTGAAAGAAGTATTAAAACTATTCACTGATGTGATACCCCAGAATGGAAGTGTAGTGAAAAGGACTAGAGAAACCAATTTTAAAAAGGGCTTCACCTGAAAATGTTGTACCTCTCAGGTCTGCAGGTAGCAGCACTAGTCTGAGAAGACTGGCACATACAGAAAAATTTTAGAGAAGCACAAGCATCACGCACATAGCCTGGATGAGCCTCTGAACTTCATGAACAAAGGGATTCTCAAGCTTTGTTTTGCACCATAACTTAAGTGCATATAAAAGCCTGTAATTAATAAATCACACTCTGAATCAGAAGTACTTTCTGAGAGCCGTTTCTCAGGAATATTAAGGTGCTTGCCTCTGAATCACAGTGGTTACTGGGAATTGTGCTAGATAATCAGAGAAGAAACAAGTTCTTTCTTATTTCCACAAGTTGGGATATAATTTTTTGGCTGCAAGAAAAAGAAAGCCACTTTCATAACTATTGCAACAATTAGAGGCAATCCTCCAAATTCACCTCAGAACCTGGTACCTGGTGGTACAACCTGCCCTCTGGAAAAACACCCTTTAGAAAAGACAACAGTTTCAAAAAGAGTTTTCTAATGAATCTGTCTAAGCAAGGAAGCTGTTAGCTGCTTTTGTCTTCAACGAGAAGGCCATTATGGGTGATCCGCATTAGTGTCCTGCCCTTTGCCTACACTGCCCAAGGCTCTAGAGAGAGGCAAGGCAACAACCTCCTCCACCACAGGAAGCCGACAGACAGGACTCCAAGGCACCTTACCTTATACTGATTTGGCCTGGTAGGGGTCTTGGGAATGCAAATTGCCAAGATGAATTCCTCATGATTGCCACCAAATACCTCTTTTTGCGTTTAGAAATTTGTATTGTATTTGCCTTGGGTTTTTGCCCTACATTCTTCACTAAGGTTTCTTTTGGTTCATTTCTACCCATTCACTAACTCCAACAAGCAGATGGTTGCAAATCAGAAAGGCTTATGTGTGGAGTAGCAAAGTGTGACAAACATACCATTCCTTAGTACTCATCAACTCCAGTGGCATTGCTGAATATGAAGATGATTAGAAAACCTAGGGAAGTGCCTCTGTCGGTAGCTATTCATGCCTTTCACTGATCCACTTACCCTTTGAGAACTGAAATAGTTGCCAAGAAAACAGCTAAAGAAAATAATAAAAGCAAAACAATACCAGTATAAATAAAGTAAGGCACAGCATGCTATCAGCCTTTTCTTCCTCAGCTGTTTTCCACATCCCTTTACCTCTTTGTGCTTTGGGGCTGTTTATGTGACAAAGTGAAACTGCTCTTACGTATCTAATTCAATGCATCAGCTGAATACATTTGTGATTTCTGGTTTTGAAGAGCTGTACAACTGGGCTGTTGCCCATTACAGGAGCCGCTGTTGTCCATTTACTGAGGTGTGCATTTTCTAAAGAGACCTTTCAAAAATGTTTCCTTCCCTACTGCCCATTTCCTTCACCAAAATTCAGCGTTTAGGTTCCCAGCAGTTCCTTGCAGGCAACGTTAAGAACAATGAAAAAACTTCCAGCACTGATGCACTCCTTCAGGGACAGAAGATACCTGCCATTTTAAAGGAGATCAAGCGGAGGCACCCGGGGAGCAATGCACGTGTTTCCAAAGGCGTCCTCTACACTTCACGAATTTGAGTGTCCACCCCACGACAGCCCAGGGGACAGCTCTTTAAAAGCACTGAGTAACACAGAAATCCAGCTCTAAAGACTAAGTGCTGTAAAATATTTCAGTGCCTAAATGAGCTGTGTCCAAAAATCAGAAGTTTAAATTTTAAAGTCCATCCCACAACACTTCCTCAAAGTCACCCAGAAATTCAGTGTCCTCCTCTTCACTCAGGACCAAGTACTTTAACCGTGTTTCAGTGCACTTCCTACAATATTCCATGAATTAATCTGTGTATTTATAAGGATGAAGAGGGCTGAGATAACACACTCAAATTGGTGCATATGGTGTCCTCCATAGTACAATCTTCCTTGAAAAGATAAGCTGCTTTAAAGATTTCCCTTAACATCCTTTCAGGTAGGCACAGCACCCATCCATCCCATGAAATATCCACTTAAAAAAACAACCTCTTTCCAGAGAAAAGCCTTTTCTCAGCCCTATCCTCTGCACCCTGCCCTCAGGAGGGCTCATACTTGTGGGTCTGAAGGAAAGGCTTGGCTGTTGGATTTGCTCTGTGAGACTGAAGTAGACAACATAACATATAATGTTACAGATAAAATCAACAGAGAAGAAACTTTCCGTAATCCACTCTTCTTTAATATGGCTGTTTTGTAATCTTTGCCATCTTTCACTCTCAAATTTTTCTGCCAAAAGAGGAAATAAATCCAAAATTGCCTCAGATCTTTTGAGATCTGAACTAAACAACCTGATGCTGGCTTTCAGGAACAAAGTTAACATCTCTTTATCCTAACCAAGGTGCAATTTTCCCTCTAGCGCATCTGCCAAATCCACAGGTCTCTAATAAATCTGGATTCTACAGTCTCAATCTCTCAAATTAGCGATGGTCAAGAGAGGAAGGAAACTCTACTCTTTAACCTATTCATGGCATTATTAACGTGCACCTTTCCAACTCCTGTTATGAGACACAGGAATAGACACGCGAAAATATAAGGAGTGCCCCCCGCTTCACCTCCCCCACACAGACACACAGTACTAAGATCAGCACGAATAAAAGATAACGACAGAGCAGCACCACCAGATAGATGGAACTGGGACCCACAACATGAGAGCAACACAACACCGTGCCAGATGCCAACACAGGAACCAAACGCCAACATGGCAGAAACAGGAGGTTAGGCAGGATCTCCTCGGAGGCAAGTCCGAGTCACTTGCTAGGGAGGGAAATGGCCTGGGGATCCCACCAGGTGAGAGCACACAGGTCCTGGGTCACTCATGAAGGATAGAGCAGATAGCCCTGGGACATCCTCCAAACTTTGACCCTAAGGGGGTATTCCTAATCCCCAAGGAAGCCCTGGGAAGGGCACAGAGAAGGCTGCCTCCCCAACTCGCTTATTCTTTAGCCTGCCATAAAAGAGGATGCCCTGAACGTGTGCTCAGGTTACACAGCGCCTTCCCCTGCTGCCTACACAACAGGGATGGCCCAGAACCTGCTCCCCACGTGACAGTCTCACTTCCAAATCTATGTAGCAGAGCTTACCAGGAATCCTTCCAAAGCATGCTGGGGTTTATTCTTTTCCTCAGCTACTGTACAATTTATGAAGGATGGATGTCAATATTGCACGCTCACCCCCAGTGCATAAACTTCTTGCCAAGAAGCTCAGAGCCTTCTGAAATAGTAAGGCATGGTAATATTCCCAAGATGGCAAGCTCATTAATGGGCAACAAGGGGTAAGGGACTGAGCTCAAACATTATACCCTCAGGCACCAGCTCAAAGCCCAGGATGGGGAGAGGCACCGGCACAATTGAGAATGGAGCCTGTATTTGCCCAGACAGTTCTTCTTGCACATCCATGACATCATCATACAGAGCTTCATTTACATGAGATGATTACCCCAGTCCTTTTCCTTCTTGACAGAAAGGAGGTGAAGGAGAAGTGCTCAAAGCTCCCTGCTTTCCTGTAGCCTGGAAAAACAAAGCCACACAGCACGTTTCCCCAGTTTAAACCCCATATGATTATGCATCAGACCTTTGAGCTGATGTAAAGCTACCTAGCTCTGACATTTAATGGGCCAGGGCGATTCATACCAGTTGAGGCATCTGGCACTCTCTCTCCTGTATCAATTCCAAAGAGAGTCCATCTCAGTGGCTACCTAGAAAGCCATTTCTGGTCTGCCTTCAACCACCTGGGCAGAAGTTTTATTACTAGACACTACATTTATTTGTACTGCCACCAGTTCATGGGCCACAAATCTCAGAATGTATTTCATTTAATTTCTCTCCTGAGCCCCGCACAAAATGCAATGGGTTGCTACTCCTCCTAGATTCTAATCACACTGAGAAAATTATTGTTTGACACCAACAGCAAGCATTTTTGTGCTTTCTCTCTGTGAAAAAACCCTCTCATTTTAAGTCAGACAACAAAGTTCTTCTGCTTATGTAACTAAATTTTATGATCAGATTAATCTTTCTATGATACACTTTTACTAACACTGAACAAAGAGGTGAGGCAAAGGGAAGATGCTACTGTTGTCTTTGGAGCCCAGTCCATGGAGAGATCACAATAGCAAAGAGCTGCTTATAACAACTCATAAATCTGTTCCTCCAAACCTCACAAACCTTCAAACCTGCTCTTGGATACAAGTACTGATGCTCATTATGAGTAATGATACTTCAGAGATTAAAGGACAACGAATAGGTAGAATATGCAACACAAGATTAATTTTGACTTATGCTGAGCTAGTTGGGAAAGGTCCACACAGTTCCTGCAGACTGAATCCCAGCACAGTCCCACTGACACAAAGTCACATTTTTAAAATCCCACATTTTAAGTTTTTCACACTCACTTGGATATATTAAAAAAACCCAAGATATATCACCTGCTTTTATTCTGTTGACCAGACAAACTCTATAGCACATGGATGATGTTTTGGCAGTGAGGTGCTGGAACAAAGTGTCCCATAAGAACACAAGGAAGTCTCCTTCCCTCATTAGGAACGTGATAGAAAACAAAAGTGTTCACCAGGATATTTTTGATGTTATTGGAATTCAGGGGGGAAATGGGCAGAATGGCTTCACCTTTCCCTTTATGTGGATATTGCTTTTGCTGTTACTTGCAAAACTCAAAAAAAGACATTGCTCCTGCAATCTTCTCACACCACAATGGAACAACAGTATGTGACAAACAACACACGCTGCAAGAACACATGCACAGATGAAGTTTATTAACTCCTCTCTCCCAGTGAAGAAAATCATGTTTGCATTTAGCATATTGAAAACCCACCCAAGCATAACCTGTCAGCAGAGGAATGTTCATTTAAATCACTCTGCTGGCATCACGGTTAGAGCAGACAGATCTGATGTATGATGCATGCCCAACTAGTTACCCTCATTAAGCAATCAGGCAACTCAAAATGCCCCCACAAATGTACAGAGGAAATGCATAGCTACAGCAAACTGAATTCTCATTTTCTGCCTTCTCCAGGTGTGGTTAGGCTGGCAATCCAAAGAAATATGTTTGTGTGGTCTGCACGTGCCCGTTAGTAGCCTGATCTGACTTTGGAATTGGCTGGTGCTCTAAGCAGGGGACTGGACCAGGTAACCTCTAGAAATCCCTTCCAGCCTGAATTATTCTAGGATTCAAGGTTGGAAATTAGAATATGCTTCGCAATCACAGGACTGATAGTTCTGAAATAACTTTCTAAAAAAAAATACGCAACTCGTTTGCAGAAACAGTCTAATAATTTGTGAAACCAGTCATATAGCAAGGTTACTTGCAAGGGATTAGACGTTTGTACCATAAGGTTCCTTTCAATCCCACATTCTTAGACCCCCATAAGCTTTACCCTTACAGTTCTCCAGTTTAGAAAAACACTGCCTTTGAAACCTTCAAGCACATTCAGGAGTTTGCCATTACGTGTACCTCTTGAGAGGTGTCTGCTTTATGCTTTGTTCTGACATATTTTGATCATGGTTTTTGTCACTACAACAGTTTGGAAATAGTTTTTGATCTTACTGCACAGTTTCTATTATCCAAATCAACTTCTCAGCTCTTAGAATCATGTTTCTAATGTAAATACCACTTACAATTCATCAAAACTCATTCATAACTTCTTTGCTATTATTCTGTAGTAATTTTTGCACTCCAGGACGTGAGCCCACATTTCAAATATGTATTTCAGCAAGCTTCTGCATCCACAAATATTGTCAGTTTGAATGCTTTAGAAGTTTTAAAAAACTAGTTTCTTTGTTTGTTAATTCCACTCAGTCACAGTGCACATTTTATAATTGTATCACCAAATTTAAATATATTTTCTAAGCTTGCAACAACTGCAACCAGCTCTATGAAACTCAGAAATAGGCACTGCCTAAAGCTCACTCACATATGGGTATTCCTTGTAGCTTTAAAATTAGCTAATCGAGGGTGGTGAAACACTGGAACAGGTTGCCCAGAGAGGCAGTGGAGGCCCCATCCCTGGAAGCATTCAAGGCCAGGTTGGACAGGGCTCTGAGCAACCTGATCTAGTTAGCGGTGTCCCTGCTCACTGCAGGGGGGTTGGACTAGTTGACCTCTAGGGGTCCCTTCCAACCCAAAATATTCTATGATTCTAATTTACTAATTTAGTAACAGTGAGGGACACTACCTTACCTGACAAAATGAGAAGCTCAATGATGTCTGCATCCCCCAGGAATGAGGCAACATGAAGAGGAGTTCGTTTCTCGGCATCCTACAAAACCATAGATCATCCAGTTACAAAACATGGTCAATGACTGCAAGCGTTAGTGTTGAAGAGCAATGGATTTCTATATAGTGTTTATTTTTCTATGCATATTTCTGTTTATAATTAGAAATGCAATCTCAACCAGTGAAAGAACAAAATTCAATGTCTGCACAACACACTTCCTCCCAATAATCCTCAATTTTTTTATCACTTGGTTCCACCAGACCTTGCAGAGAAACTGTCCTTACTCTGATATCCTGTTTACAGGTAGATCAAATAAGATCAAATCTAAAATGAGGAAAGACGTCATCCTTGGGTCTCTTTTGGAAACATTTTCCACTCTAAGTATTGCAGCGACATAATTCAGATGCTTCTGGACATCAGACTTTGTAATGCAGTTTGCATCAACAATATAGCACCAGACTCTTCAGGAGGGTATCTCTGGAGAATGGTTTGGAACCACACACAAGGCCAAGATGCAATTCTCTCAGTCTACAAAGGTTCTTGTATACCATTTAGCCTCGTTTTCTACAGCAGCCCAAAATGGGCTAGTACACCTTGATCGAGCTTTATACACAAATAAAGAAAATATTACCAGTCAGGTCTGTGTCTTTAAACTTAGAAGAATTGCTAATAATCATATGTACAACTTCTGAAATACATCTACTTTTATTTGATTTTTGTAATTTTGAGCCTTAGGGAGTCACATTTTCAAGATTTTCTTTTCTAACTTCAAGGGGTGTAAATACAGTGTTTACAAAAAACCCCTTTCTTTTATTTCTTATTCAGGTAATTCCAGAACATAGGCCTTTAAAAGAAATTGCTAAACACTGTAATATGGGCAACAGAAATCACAGGAACTGCTAATACTGCTAATCAAGCTATTTGACACCTGTTTCTAGTCCTAAACGTAGATCATTTTGGTTCCTTAACCACTAATAAAAAGAAGTTCTAAGAGACTTATCAATCAAACTTTTCAAATTACAACCCACCGGCATTGAATACTGTAAGCTGGTAACAGATGCAACACTTCCTGCAGATAATACCAACACAGAAACCTCACCGGTATTTACACTCTCTCCCTGAAACATATCGCTGAGCCTGTCGAGTTGAATATCACTTTTAACATGCCCAAGAGGTCATCAACCGCAAGCTATTTTGGACCCTCTTCAAAGTATGCTATAAATGTGGCTAAATCAGTGCAGCAGAACCATTTGTCATGGGAATGCTGAAAATTGTTTTCTAGCACTGCGAGGCACAGAGCCACTGGTCACCAGAATAAGTTATGTTTAATTTTTATACTTATATGGTTTTTTTCAAACATACATGATGTATGTAGTCCCTCAATGCTGCTGCAGTGGGTTTTGATCTTACATATTGGCCATGCACAAAAAACATTAAAAAAGACAAATTACATGACACCCTGGTTGTCACAGGTGAGAGGGAAAGGTATCTTACAGAACTTCCCCCCCTCGCATGGTAGGCAAATTAAAACAGTATTAAGTGGTGTCAGTCCAGCAGCATCCACTCAGAAACCAGAATCAGAAAGCTGGATTCTCGCATATGCTCAGTTCCTAAAACATAATCCACCACAGACTAGCTTTTACAGGCTACATGAGTGCGTACGAGACCTTTCATAAGTATTGCTATCCATGGCAAAAAATATCCTAGCACTGATCGAACATTTGTACAGAATAGAAAAATAGAATCTGTTTTACTTTTTTTTAGCTTGTTCATTTTAATGCATGAATCTCTCTTTAGCAGTGTAGCATTTGTAACAGCTATCATACCTGTCAGTGATAAATTTTGCGGCAGCTTCTTGCAACGCAGCCAAGTTTAGCAAGAGAACAGAGTAGCCTGAAGTTGAATACTAACAATACAAGATCAAGCAACTTTCTATATCAAGGAACCGAGGCTATTCAGTGCTTTATTAGTATAAAATATTGCTTATAATTAATGCATAAATCTGATGGAAATTTGATAATTGAGGGAGGAAAGGACATGAAACAGAAAAGTAGGATTTTTATCCTTCTTTAACAGGAATAACTCTCTAAGTATTCTCAGCTTTCACTTTTTAAAATCAATTCAAAATCCTATCAAATCAAGTGAGAATCAATTCCTCACAGAAAAATGGGTTTAGTCACGCAGCTAAATTTAAGCTTAATTTCTCCAAGAGGAAAAAACCCTACAGTTTCTCCATTTATCACAACCAGGCACAAGAGTTCACCCTCACATGAACTAGCAAACGACAAAACCCGATGTGTGGTACAGAAAATTAAAAACACATGAAAGAGCCCTACAGGCAACTTTTTCAGGAGTTGGGCGGGGAGAAGTCCGCACACAAGGCCTGCATTTGAGCAAATCAACAGAGGAGCATCCTCAAGTTCCTGTTTACGCTCTGCAGAAGGCTGACGCAGGAACAGAGGAACTGGGGCATCTGCCTGTCTGTCCAACCACGCTCCTCACGTCCTCCTCAAAGCCGCGTACCGCTTCAGCAAGGCTCAGAGAGCTCCCTGGCTTTGCGTCTGGCCCGCGCCCTAACGTCTCATCAGCTATAGATGTCCTTGTGGTATGATGGTAGTAAAGGGAGTACAAATAAGTAAATCAATAACGATGTAACGACTGAAGGCTACAAACAGAGAGAGAGGAACAAAAAGAACATCGGTCATTTCAGGGAAAGGTCTGGCAGAACCCCAAACCTGAACATGCGTTATCAAGGCAAGGAAAGGAGGTGGGGAGAAGAAATGATAGCAGGATTACAAATAGCATTAAGACAAATAATTAGACCCGCTTCAAGTGCAGTTCTCAGAGGAACAAAAGGTCAGTAAGAGACCGCAGATAAGCGAAACAATGGCTAGAAAATCACGCCGAGATAACCACCCTCTCCCCAAAACTGTATTAGTGCCTTATATTAGTTCACAGAAAAGATGATGCTGCACGTTACCATTACCTGTACACATTTATTTTTTTTAAAGTACAGATAAAGGAAATTAAGAGTTTAACAAACAGGCAATTGAGGACAGAAGGCCTCAGCAAGAAAAACACTCAACACATGCTTAAGCTGTTCAAGTGATCACAGTGACACTACCAGTGACCCTATCGAGGCCCTTCACAGGCTTAAAGTTAGGCTAGTCCTTAAGTGCTTTATTGGATCAGAGCCTTAGACTGCACAAAGATTAGCAGAACAGTGGCTCGGATGAATCATATTAGCATATGTAAAATATCAGGCACATGAAGAAAAAGGCCAACAAGTTTCTCCCCAACACAACCTATATCTCAAAAGAGATAACGGACTTGAACTTTTATATCAACTGCAGCTGCTCAGATCAGAAGACGTTTAGGAAAGAGTTATTTACTATCAAAATATAAGTGCAATTGCTAAAGAAAATAAATGTCTTTATCCTCTTTATGTCACCAAACTGCCTGAGCAGCCAACAGGAATAGGAGTTAATGCACCACAGAAATGGAGTTAATGACATTTCGTTGGTAAGAAGTGCTTGGATTCCCACCATCTTCAAGCAGCCAGCGATCTGCTTGGGTAGCAGAATAAACTGAACTGTACTGAAGGGCTACAACTTCCATTGACACAAGTCTAACCAAAACAAGAACAGAAACAAACCTCCTGCTCATTAACTCCATTTACTGTCTGAGCACTCCTTATTTAAATAGCACAAACTAGCTGTTACCATTAAAAACCACAAACATCCAGATACAACTTGACTTCAGGAAAATTAAATATTGGGAACTGGTTAGGAACTACTGAAGAGGCCAAAAGCAAATGGGCAGCTGCTTCTTGGGCTATTTACAACCATTCAGAGCCAAAAGCTGATGCTGTACAAAGAAAATCTCTGCCGCTTCAGGATTTCCTCCCTCTCACAGATTCTTTTATTAAAGCCTGTAATTCACAAAGCAAACCGAAATGCTTAACTGTGAGCACCAGCTGGGAGGTGAAAGTCAAGCTGTGTAACTTATGCCTGGTGCTCTTTCTTCTGCTATTACCAAGCACAGAAATTCCTGTCTGGAAACGCAGATCCTGGTTCCAGCACCTCTCATCCCCACAGTCCTCAGTTCAGCCTCAGAAACAAAGACATTTCTGGACTGAGTCTTTAATTGCCCAGTGCCCATGAGATGGAAGAGGCAAATACTTTGATCTTCTAAAGACAAGAAAAATTATCTTCCCTCTCCCCACCCATCTAACACTTTCCTTCCATGAGGCTGACAGTAGCTTTCATGCTAGAAAAAGATAACTTTTAAAATTAATTACTAATCCTAGATTGAGACTGTAGAAACTGTTACCATAATTAATGGAAATATTTTAATGTTTATAGCAGTGAGTTTCCAATGTAAGGCTCAAAAGACAGACTGAAACAACCTCATTTTTATAAATGCAATATTGACTTGGGGGGGTGGATGGCATGGGAGCATACATCACTCATAAGCTGATGGGAAAAGCAGATTTAGAAAATTCAGGTATTTCAGGCTGACACTGCTGTCTGAAGAAAATAAAGCAGCGACAGCCGAACCCTGCCATGAGCTTTTAATGGCCTATAAATCCTTAACTGTCTCAAACATTTTGAGGACACTGATAACATGAGTCACCAGCACAGATATATGTAACGTAGTACCCACTAGTATACTAGCATGCAACTCAGGATATTTCAGACTTTCAGTAAATGCCAGCAGAATCTTCTTCACAGTTCAAACATCTTCCTTATAAAATACAAACCATTACATTTATTTTTTAAAAGAAAAAATATGTATCCTAAATAAAAGTAATGCTGGTTACCTTGCATCACAATAATCAATGCAATTTCATATTCAATTTCCTTACATAACTGAGAATTGTTCATAATTTCTTCCTGTAGAAAAAAAAGTCTCCATGACTTCCCACTTAAATTAAGAGCGTATCAAACACCACCACTAGAGGCTAAATACCCACTGAAAACACAGCTATTACTTAGCACCAAACCATCATATTGTATCAAAGCAGAAGCCTTCCAAAGTTCTTGACTAAGTCCTTCAGAAGACTTTCCAGCACAGCAGAACTACATCTAGAAGAGGAGCGTTTACTTCCAGGATAGCTTTATTCTCCTGCAAGACTCCACAGTGCCAAAAAGAAAATCATCATTCCTTGGATGAGAGCAGAGATGAGGGTCTGGTTCCCAAGATTACTGAAATAATGCATTATGGTCTCTCTTAGTCCCAAGTCAAACATGTCACTCCAAACTGAACAGCAAGCTGGTTTTCACATTAGCTATCCCAAGCATGCAAAGCCTTTCAGGCTCACAATCCTAAACGTTTGCATACTTGTACCCTCAAGCACTCGTACCACCTCAAAAAGCATGCTTAGCAATACCACAGAAATAGGTATATATAAAACTCGTGTGTGTGTGTGTGTGTGTGTGTGTGTGAAGACCTGGATAAAGCCTGAATCCTCCTAACAAAGGCAGTCCTGCAAATCTATGCCTTACCAAGTAGGATAATGAGAAAAAGAAGTAATAAACAGCATACATCCGTGTCTCTCCATAAGGAGTTCCTTCTTGCCCTCCTTATCTTGTAATAAACCATCCTCTAAATACATGGTCCTGAAATCTCTGCTGATGCCACTGCCCCTTCCTCTGCAGACTTGCTCTGCAGCTAGAAACAGGCAGGCGATGCCCAGGGTCACTACACGTCTACACGGTTCAAGCCCATCCCCAGCCCAGCGTGAGCCCGTCCCCAGCCTGGCCCGTCAGGAGTTACTGCAGCTCACCTAGATCTGCTGGCTCTGCAGCTCTGCTTTAATGAAAACAAGCCAAATTCAGCTAAACCATTACCTTCTGCTAACATATCTCATTTTGGGGAAAGTGGGTGGGGGAGCATTTGCACAAGCAGCTCTTGACACCGAGGAGCAGTGAGAAGCAGCAGCTTTTTCCAGCCAGCAGAGCATGGAGCAAAGAGGCTATGAGGATCAAGCCCAGAAGGCCGTATCAGCAACCATCCCCCAAGAACAGAAACAGAAGCAACTAAGTTTTGGGAAAGTAGATGTTGCCTTCAACAGTCTCACTGGTGGGGTGAGGTGGTATATTATTTACTTTCCAAAAAACATGAATCCAATAGAAGATATTCTGGGGACATCGAACTTTTGCATTAATTTTGGGGCTTAGGATTCTATCCAAGAAAAAAATGCAGGATTAGGGGATAAAGACTAAAAACAGAGGGAAAGAAATGTTTGGTTTGGCTTGCAAACATTGCATTAGTTATGGGAAGAATACTGGAAGGTTTTTTTGCCTTTTTTGTTTGACTTTGAATATTTTGAAGGGAAACTAAACTGGAAGACTTAGGTGAAAATGGAAATTTTACAGGAAGCATTTTGGTTTAGTAGAAAATCATGACATCGCACGTAAGAACTGGACTCTGCAGACGTAGGGTGCTGCACAGCTGCATGTGTTACGAATCCCAGCTAACCAGGGGTTACCACTGGATCCAGAATAATCCCTAGGTTCTGGGGCTCATTCCCTCACACTCTTCCCAAAGTAAAAACAGCACCCCAAAAAATCCCCACCTACACACACATAGCACAATCACCGTGCTATTTCTAAATGTACCAAACGGCAAGTGTAGAGGATGTCTACCTGACACTAATGTGGAGGTCTGGATGGTCCAACCCAGTATCCCAAATGCCCTGGGAAAATAAGCTGCTGAACATTGCCCATGGGCAGATCAGCTTTCCCATGGTAATAGTGCGTGTTCAGTACTCGGTGGTAGGGAATCACTCACTGCCAGCCAAGTACAACTGCGTCTATGACCTCATGGTGCAAAACTAGCATCACGTTCCCCCGAAGCATAGCTATGGACTGGAGAGGTCAAAGTGACGATTACGGTGGCAGAATGAATTAAAACCACACTTCTAAGCCAAACAGTTACAGCTTTCACTTTGTTGCAAAATAGAAGTCACAATTATAGCAGCATCCAGAACACAGACATCTCCATCAACATACACTTCCCAGCCTGGAAAGTAACTCATTATTTTCCCAGACAAAAAAAAAAAAAAAAAAAAAAGAGTAACCTTCTAAACTTCTGATTTCCTCTAAACTCTTTCCTCTGAGATTAATGTTCTTGTAGGAAGTATGCCTTCTACATCCCTAATTTTGCATAGTTTCTCCGTGTGCTTTTTTCTTTGGCCTTTCAGATACCCCTCTTGCTGCAGATTCCAAAAATCAATTTTTAAAACTTCAGAAACCCCCAAAGCTTGCTGCAAAAACAAGAGTTTTATTTTGTTTCCCTGTCCTACCTATATTTGAGCTATTCCAATATTAACACAGCTAACCAAAACGATCAACAAAGGACAAATCACTGCCAAACAGTGTCAGAGTTTCCTCTCACGTGAGTGACCAAGCACTAGAGAAACACTAACATGGAAGTAATTAAAAACACCCTTAAAATAGAAACATAAGCACACAATGCAAATTGCCAGCTCACAGCACAAGGGGGGAAAATGCTATCTTTTGACCTTTCTTTACTGGCATTTTGACACTTGTCTGCAATCACTATCCAGAACACAATCTTCAGAATTCGTGTTGACCAGTATTTTTCTAATTACTCCAAAGAACAGCTTTGGGTTTTGACCCTGACAAAATAGCTGTTCAGGCAAAGCGTTCCTGGATGGACTTCTGGCATCTTAAACAGGATTCTGGGCAAGACCATTAAAGTTCATTGACTTTTTTTTTTAACTACTATGGTACTCATCTATAAAATACATAATCTTCATTTAATATTGCACCTGACAGTTGAGAGCATCTCCCTAGCAACCATCACTACCACACTTGCAGCCAAAGGATATAAAAACACTTGAGAAGCCTCCAATAACCTTGTACAGGAAATGCTATTTTGAAAAACCAACAAGAAATACAGAGGAAATTTTAGGACTAGCATGGTCATCTAGGTTGGGGTTTTTTTTTTGGTTGGTTGGTGTTGTGGTTTAACCCGGCAGGCAGCTGAACACCACACAGCGACTCACTCATTCCCCCGCCTCAGTGGGATGGGGGAGAGAATTGGAAAAAAAAGTAAAACCCATGGGTTGAGATAAAAACAGTTTAATAAACCATCAGAGGAAAAAATTAATAAGAATAAGAATAAAATATACAAAGGAAGTGATGCACAACGCAATTGCTCACCACCAGCTGACCAATGCCCAGCCCGTCCCCGAGCAGCGATCGCTGCCCCTTGGCCAATTCCCCCCGGTTTCTATACTGAGCATGACATCATATGGTCTGGAATAGCCCTTTGGCCAGTTGGGGTCAGCTGTTCTGGCTGTGCCCCCTCCCAGCTTCTTGTGCACCTGGCAGAGCAGGGAAAGCTGGAAAAAAAAAAAAAAAGGTCCTTGACTAGTCTAGGCACTACTTAGCAACAACTAAAACATCAATGAGCTATCATCATTCTTCTCCTACAGAACACAGCACTACACCAGCTACCAGGAAGAAAATTAACTCTATCCCAACCGAAACCAGGACAGTTGGTTTGTGTTTTTTTCTTTGGTTTATTAAGACCACTGGGGAAAACAAATAAGGAAGAAACTCAAGGGAGATGACACTTTAAGGAAGCACTTTTAAGAACTCATTTCAAGAAAACAGCAACAACAGGTACTGATAATCACAGGGAAAACCTAATGTCAAGGTCATCTTTGATCAGATTGCCCTTTTAAAACAGCAGCAAGTCTTTCCTTCCGCTTGACAGCAAACAGAGTGGAGCCCCAGTTAACCAGATCTGTAGGATCACTTCTCCAGTTCCCCTCTGCAGCTCCACACCAGATGGTTGGACTCCACTGCCTAAAAAGCTGCAGTGCCAAGACTACACCAGCCAAGCTGCTGGAGTTAGCTATGAATAAACTGATGGCTTTCTGTCAGAGAAAGACATGAAGAAAAGGTAGGTTGATTCAAAAGTCCAGGAAAGGCCTGGAAATCACCATTCTGCTTATGTTTTATATTCTCACCACTTTCAGAGGCCACAGATTATAGTCATGACTGGCAGGGTTCATTTCTAACAGTACAGATTTAAGTTAAAATCAAAGAGAGAAAAAAAAAAATCCAAACTTTGCAAAAAGACCAAGCTCAAATGGAGATTTTTTTCACTGCCAAAACACTTAACTACTACTTGTTTACAGCTGCTTTACCATTGTTCTGGCTGGAATAAGCCAATCGGCAGAACAGTAATTCCTTTGTGGGCAAATTGTGGCCAAGATACTGCTTCTTTACTCTCACTGCTGAGACCTATAGTGAAGCTTTATTTCAAGTACAGTCAAATGCTGAATAACAGCTCCTGATCTGCATAGGCTCTTCATAAAAGGAAACTCCACAGAGAGTAAAAATATGCAGCTTTCAGCTGGTTTCATTCATTTTCTCAGTAAGAGAGAAAATGTCCCTGACTGACCTGCACATTTGGAATAATTACCATACACTTAGAAAATTTGAAGTCACTTGCTGGAGATAATTATGTTTCAGACTGCTAATTAGGATTCCACTGAAGCCCCAAATCTCTAACTTCCAAATAATTTCTGTTCTGTTATGTGTTAATTACTAAAGACATGTTTAATACGGTCATTGCAACAGTTCATAAGCATGGTGCTTACATATCACAGGCACATAACATGCCAAGTCACATACCAAGGCGTTGACATCCTCAGTTTTGTAGATCAACATCCGTATCTCTTCCGGATCGCCACTGAAAATTGCTTGGACCAGTGGTGGCTGGAAAAATAAAACAGAAGAAGCAGCATTACAGGTTAGTTTGTTTTCTGCTTAGAAGGAGAGCATATTATTCCTGCCAGCACTTAACTAATGTTGCCCACAGATGCTGTGTGACTCCAGTAAGAAATCACCAAGAGCATCTCATCAGTAAGAACTATCAGTTTGCTTGAGGATAAAGTGAAATCATGAGTATGTTTGTACATATAATGAGCGTGTATGCGCACAAACAGGGACCCCCATTAGAAATGGCAACTTTTGTCAACAACACGCAATTAGCCCAGATGTTCTCCTTGGCATGTAAGTGGAAAACTAATTACATCACATACTGCTGCATGCTTGCTGTTGGCACAGATTAATGGTCATGCAATACACATTTAGAAACAGAACATTATGCAGATAATGAATTTCTGGGCAATTACTAAACATCTTGTATCTTTTTACAGAATAAATATGCAATGAGCACAGTTAATTTTAACCACCCAAGAAGCGAAATAATTATCTTACTGTTTTAAGTCTGTTATTACGCTATTATGAATCGGAATGTATAAATAAATAATCAGGCATACAGGAGAAACAATATGCCATGTTCATTCCTCTGGCAATGCTGGCGTCACTGCCCATCGGTGGGAGGGAGTGCTGCATATGCTCAGCTGCTCCGTTACACCTCCAGAGCTGGCAATTTCAGTCCTTCTGCCTGGGTTTGCTCTGGACCCCCAGCAGCAAATATCTGAGTTATTAACCAAGCTGGCAGAACACAATCTGCTGAATTAAAAGAACAAAAACCTCGCTACTGGAGACTGAGAAAAAAGAAGGGGACAAACTGCAAAGGTACCTATCCCCTGAAGCACGTAGTTGAAACAGGTGGTGGCCCCACTTCCACCCGCTACCCCTCCTGAAGGCAGGGTGTGCCCCCCCGTAAGCTTGCTGCCCACCTCCAGGCTGCCTACTAGCAAAAAAGAGTCTGTGGTGCTGTGCAAGCATCAGAATTTAAAACAACTCTTCAAAATGGAAGCAGGCATGACTACTTAAGCACATAAAACCACAACAGTTCTTAAGACTCTGCAGAATTTAACTATCTTGTGAACAGGTTACCTCAAAATTCACAAACAAGCTGGACGAACAGAGAAAATATATTTTTGTCCCAATCTTTTCACTGCGAAATTCATCATATTCAAATGTGGAAAATTCATTTCTAAGCCAATGTCTGTTTTAAGACTTATTAATCCCTTATGTCCTCGAGAAAGATTCACACTGGAATTTCATTCTTGCTGCTACTCCAATGAAAAAAGGACAATTGCCTGCAGTCTTATGTATTGCAGTGGATGTTTGAAAAAGAAAGAAAAAAAAATCGCATTTAGCACTATAGCATGCTTCCTTCCCTGCCCCTGTCAGAGCGGCCACAGACTATTCCCCACCAGAGGATGCGAACACCAGACCTCAGAGTCTGTTCCTTTCTCCCTCATCTGCCGAACTCAAACAAATCAGAATTAGTAGCTAAGAATGAGACGGTCTCATTTCTGCATTTTTCTCTACCAAAAGAAATCATTTAAGGCAACTCTCTAATCTCACACCCACTAGCACACTAATAAAAACTAGTATTTCCTAGACTTAGCACAAACCTAACACTAACAGCTATGAAGAACCAGTGAGCATTTATGAAATTAGAAGCTCGCACCACAATATTTCCATTTCATGTACATTTATCATAATATTTAAATAACAAAATAAACAGGAAAGCAGAGAACTCCTGGATTTTAAGCTGAATAGCAACACAACCCAGTGGTGAAGCAACAAATACCTACAGCGGCTTGGACTGGTCTCTGAACCCCCTTGCAGGTACACCCAGCACCCAACGAAAGGTATCAGCCAGGCTCTAAAGACACCTAACCTGAGACTTCAGGACAGAGGTACCATCAACCAAGAGAAAAAACTCAACAAACTTCAAATCTATTGGATTTTTTTTTAAAGTTCAAATACTGTTAGGGGTGACACTTTTGTTTTAATAGGGAGAGAGTAAAGTACTGTGCATTGTTACATTAAAAAAAGAGGGAAGTCTACAATAAGACAGTTTGACCCTTCTTCCCTCTGCCAGAAATCTGAATCAGACACCTGGTTTTACAGGAAAACCTTGACCTTTTTAATTAACATCAGCTACTTAACACAGAAAGCAGATTGAAAATAACACTGCGTTGTTTAGACCTGTAACACATATAAGATCCTCATCTCAATTTTTGTCCACCGTACCACAGTCATACCTACATGCATCAAAAGTATGTATTGTGCCTCTGAAGCAGGTTAGAAGACTCGCACTCCTGATACACATCACCTTTGCTGACAGGAGATAGCTGCCATATACCCATTTGCAAAGGCCTTAGTCCTTCAGCCCATGAGATTTACTTTTTATAAATTCATTACAATAGAACTATCACTGCTAATTGTAACAGCAAGAGGCAGAGATAACAGAGAACAATCAGAGCCTGTGAATTAGAAAGAACAGATAAAACCAGTACAGGTTAATAACCATCTTGAGTCACTGCTGTGCACCTTTCTCCAACTGGCCATTTTTCTAAATTACTATTTCATAATTTTACTTTATTTTCAAAGGTTTTGACGTGAGAAACGCATTATTGTTAAGGAATTTTTAATACATATGAAGACATGATTCTGTGTAAGATGCACAGCCATGTATAGGACTGTTTAGGAAAAATGTCAGAAGTATGTTGCAGTGTTGTTGCTGCAATTTGAGGTCAGAGCTGAGAATGTGCATTCACATCCATCAGCATGATGGAAAAAGTATTGCTCCATTCAGCAGCTGGCAGTGATGAAATGGAGCTCGTGCAGTTACGTACGTGTTGATGATGGATGTCCAATGACCTGAACAGATTACTTTCTTGATCTCCAGTGATAACCATGTTCATGCAGGACTGACTTCAACTTTAAGTAACTTTTTTTTTAAAAAAAAAATTCCTGAAGGGCAGATAATGACACTTCCTAACTACCAAAGAAGGATAGAGTATATTTTTGGAAAGAATTTCTAAAACCTGTGACAACATCATTAATGGGTTATTTCATTAACAGAAATATTTTGCTTTAAAATTCTTCAAACTCAGAAGTTGTTAAACACTCAGAATGAAGAAAAAAAAAAAAACCAGAAAGCACAGAACAGGTTACGCATAACTATTATTAGAATTAAGCAAGGGTGCAGGTTTTGGAATGATGAACAACTGTTTCATCAGCTCAGCTCTCTGGAGCTTCCAAATTCTTAAAGAGTTTCAGTTGGGAGTGTTCACATTTTTTTCCTGAAAACATACACCAGCCGCTAACAAAAACCTTTCCCTGTGACAACAGTAACTCTGTAGAAAAAGTAAGTACAAAACTCATCAACAGGTCTTATTAGCGTGTTCTTTACTTTGTGCTGTAACAAGAGTTATAGTAAAAATAAAATTTTATCTGCAGACACGTTCCAGTGCCAGAACATATCCCTGTCGTTAGTGCATAGGGGCCAATCGCGAGCTGGACTTCACCAGGTAAAATTTACTCGTTGAACTGAAGGCATAATGAGTATTTCAGCAACGGAGAGCTTAAACCCATGTGGAAGGACGTCCTGTGGCTCAGCTGGCATCCACGGAGCCACACTGGCAGAAAAAAATCTGGCCTTGGCGAATTCTCCTCCTATGGATCTGACAGGACAGAGGAAAGCTGAGCCTATTATCAAGCATTCGCAGGTCTCTGGATCCCAAATGAGATGAAGCATCCAAGAGGACTGTCTCAAATAGCGTTTTAATTACTATATCTGAAGTGGGTGCTGAAGCTCCTAGCAAACCAGTTAGTATTTTCGCCGAGTTAACTGTGACATATGTTAAATATTTTATCTTCATTTTAGATATCCTGACTTACTAACAAGGACCTATTTAAGCCAGATTTTCATTTGACAGGACCTGGAGGCAGACAGGGAAAGGATGATCGATTCCCACGCTGATTTGATATAATATACTATCATTTGATCTTGTGAGTGAAAAGAAGTTATATATTGATCTTTTACTTGTTGTAATTGCATTACATCAAGTTGCTGGATATGTCCATGTACTCCTTTCTCTTTAACCGGCAAGACAATGTAGCAAGGCACATAATCATTTTAAAGTGGTATTGATTTTGTCAGTGTTTTGCCAAACACCTCTTTTTTCCTGCAGGTACTCCATTAATCAAGATTACAAGGTTGTCTGTAATGTCACATCACATACATCTATTTCCTTCCACCGGTCACAGCACAAAGACTACTCCTCCTTCTAATTTTTATTTAGGACTTTCTCCCTCCAAGCTACTGTTGTACATGAATGTCTGAAATACTGTTTTAACTTGTAAGTCTGTATGAGTGAGCAGTCATAAATTGGATTTCTCTTAAGTCTCAGAGTGCCTTTCCCTGGTGCTTAGTATTTATACAGTTCCATGTGCAGAAATTATTCAACACTAATCATTTTTTAACAAGCCTTGCAGTCCATTTCACTTGCATCAGCAGTTAGCGTTTTACTGTGTTTCAGGAATTAATTGCTGGGTAAATGCAAAGAGAGGTTTACTCTTAACTTCTTGTTATTTCAAAGATTGCATTTCTGTTACTGGAATGTCTACATACTGGTTTCTGACAGCGAAGTACTTTCACAGAGCTGGTATTTGGAGAAGAATGTCCTTGGATGGTTGCTAAGGGGTGTTTCAGAGCAATTAGATTTTTACTAAGCAACTCCTAAGTAATACTTGGTGAAGCTACTGAAAGGCCAGTGGAGAGAATCAAATCCGTAAATAGGGTGTACTGGTCCCCTGGAAGCACTATGGCAAACTGACAGCGTTGTTAAGTGAGCAGATGTACATACCTAGGACATTTATACTGACCAGACCAATAAATACCCTGTACACTGCAAGATTTCAAATATGGCAGGAAAAAAGTTTTTCAATTAATTTAATTCTATCTTCTTATGTCCTCCAATTTTTGCAGACTAGCCCAAT